TCTCCATTTTCCTCATTTCCTTCCACATCTAGCTGGGTTGCAGTTATGTTTATAATTATGAAATAAAAACAAGTTCCAAAAAAACCCACCAAAATATTCAGTGGTTTGTAAAAATCCCACCAGGATGGGAGTAGGAGAAGGGGACAGCAGAGAAAGGAGGAAGGAGGGGTGGGGAAGGGAAGAGCAGAGAGAGAGAAGGAGGAAGGGGGGGGACTTGGTGTGTGCCACACCTTTTGGGGGCAAGACAGGATTGTAAGAGGGATTTTACCTAACAAACGCAATCACTGTAACCTAATTTCTTATGCCCTCAATGAATCCCCAACAATTAAATAAAAAAACCACTAGAAAAAATTTGAAGGAATACTATATCAGTTTTTTGTGTTTGTTTTTTGTTTGTTTTGAGATAAGAGTCTCACTCTGTCCCCCTCGGTATCAGTATCGTGCCTGGCATCACAGCTCACAGCAACTTCAATCTCTTGGGCTTAAGTGATTCTCTTGCCTCAGCCTCCCAAGTAGCTGGGACTACAGGACACAATGCCTTATTTTCTTGTTGTAATTGTCATTGTTGTTTAGCTGGCCCAGGCAAGTCCCAACCGTCCAGCCCCAGTGTATGTGGCCAGTGCCCTAACCACTGAACTACAGGCACCGAGCCATATGTATCAAACTTTTTTTTTTTGAGATAGAGCCTCAAGTTGTCGCCCTGGGCAGAGTGCCATGGCATCACAGCTCACAGCAACCTCCAACTCCTGGGCTCAAGCGATTCTCCTGCCTCCACCTCCCAAGTAGCTGGGAGGACAGGCGCCCGCCACAATGCCCAGCTATTTTTTTGGTTGCCACCATCATTGTTGTTTGGTGGGCCTGGGCTGGATTCGAACCCGCCAGATGAGGTATATGGGGCTGGCGTCTTAGCTACTTGAGCCGCAGGCGCCAAGCCCATATGTATCAAAGTTTTATTGGAATAAAATCAGGAGCTCCTAATCTTAAGAGCAATGTTGGGGATGCAAGGAAGTCAGAGAGGCAATCATAATTGATTTAACCAGGTAAAATAAAAATCTGTCACATGCAAAATATTGAAGAAGCAAATGGATGGAAAATATTGGTTATAGACCACTATTACAAAAGCTTCTAGAGATAAAGATACTTCGCAGTTGAAAAAACTCAAGGTAGGAATGAATAAAGAAACAATGTCAAACTGAAGCAAAACTTTCAACATCACAAATCAAAGCAGCACAATTTAAGAGACTTGTGAGTTTTAAACTCTTACAAGCACAGCGGGGTGCTGTGCCTGTAGTCCCAACTACTTTGTAGGCTGAGGTGGAAGGATTGTTTAATCCCAGGAGTTCCAAACCAGTTGGGCAAACTTAACAAGAGACTGAGAGACCACGTCATTAAGTGAAACTAAACTCTTGCAAACAGCTGGAACTCATTACTGCAAAAGGATGAAGAA